TTTTTTGACATCACAACAGAGAGACGAAACTGGCTTTGATATCTGACATCACAACAGAGAGATGAATCTGGCTTTGATATCTGACATCACAACAGAGAGATGAATCTGGCTTTGATATCTGACATCACAACAGAGAGATGAATCTGGCTTTGATATCTGACATCACAACAGAGAGATGAATCTGGCTTCGATATCTGACATCACAACAGAGAGATGAATCTGGCTTCGATATCTGACATCACAACAGAGAGACGAATCTGGCATTGATATTTGACATCACAACAGAGAGACGAATCTGGCATTAATTTCTGACATCACAACAGAGAGACGAATCTGGCATTAATTTCTGACATCACAACAGAGAGACGAATCTGGCATTAATATTTGACATCACAACAGAGAAGCGAATCTGGCATTAATATCTGACATCACAACAGAGAGACGAATTTGGCATTAATATTTGACATCAGAACAGAGAGACGAATTTGGCATTAATTTCTGACATCACAACAGAGAGACGAATCTGGCATTAATATTTGACATCACAACAGAGAAGCGAATTTGGCATTAATATTTGACATCACAACAGAGAGACGAATTTGGCATTAATATTTGACATCACAACAGAGAAGCGAATCTGGCATTGATATTTGACATCACAACAGAGAGACGAATTTGGCATTAATATTTGACATCACAACAGAGAGACGAATTTGGCATTAATATCTGACATCACAACAGAGAGACGAATCTGGCATTGATATCTGACATCACAACAGAGAGACGAATTTGGCATTAATATTTGACATCAGAACAGAGAGACGAATTTGGCATTAATTTCTGACATCACAACAGAGAGACGAATCTGGCATTAATATTTGACATCACAACAGAGAGACGAATTTGGCATTAATATTTGACATCAGAACAGAGAGATGAATCTGGCATTGATATTTGAGATCACAACAGAGAGATGAATCTGGCATTAATATCTGACATCAGAGACGAATCTGGCATTAATATTTGACATCACAACAGAGAGACGATCTGGCATTAATATCTGACATCACAACAGAGAGAGACGAATCTGGCATTGATATCTGACATCACAACAGAGAGATGAATCTGGCATTGATATCTGACATCACAACAGAGAGACGAATCTGGCATTAATATCTGACATCACAACAGAGAGACGAATCTGGCATTAATATCTGACATCACAACAGAGAGACGAATCTGGCATTGATATTTGACATCACAACAGAGAGACAATCTGGCATTAATATTTGACATCACAACAGAGAGACGAATCTGGCATTAATATTTGACATCACAACAGAGAGACGAATCTGGCATTAATATTTGACATCACAACAGAGAGACGAATCTGGCATTAACATTTGACATCACAACAGAGAGACGAATCTGGCATTAATATTTGACATCACAACAGAGACACGAATCTGGCATTGATATCTGACATCACAACAGAGAGACGAATCTGGCATTAATATCTGACATCACAACAGAGAGATGAATCTGGCATTGATATCTGACATCACAACAGAGAGACGAATCTGGCATTAATATCTGACATCACAACAGAGAGACGAATCTGGCATTAATATTTGACATCACAACAGAGAGACGAATCTGGCATTGATATTTGACATCACAACAGAGAGACGAATCTGGCATTAATTTTTGACATCACAACAGAGAGACGAATCTGGCATTAATTTCTGACATCACAACAGAGAGACGAATCTGGCATTAATATTTGACATCACAACAGAGAGACGAATCTGGCATTAATTTCTGACATCACAACAGAGAGACGAATCTGGCATTAATATCTGACATCACAACAGAGAGATGAATCTGGCATTAATTTCTGACATCACAACAGAGAGACGAATCTGGCATTGATATCTGACATCACAACAGAGAGACGAATCTGGCATTGATATCTGACATCACAACAGAGAGACGAATCTGGCATTAATTTCTGACATCACAACAGAGAGACGAATCTGGCATTGATATCTGACATCACAACAGAGAGATGAATCTGGCATTAATTTCTGACATCACAACAGAGAGACGAATCTGGCATTGATATCTGACATCACAACAGAGAGACGAATTTGGCATTAATATTTGACATCACAACAGAGAGACGAATCTGGCATTGATATCTCACATCACAACAGAGAGACGAATCTGGCATTGATATTTGACATCACAACAGAGAGACGAATTTGGCATTAATATCTGACATCACAACAGAGAGACGAATTTGGCATTGATATCTGACATCACAACAGAGAGACGAATCTGGCATTGATATCTGACATCACAACAGAGAGACGAATCTGGCATTAATATCTGACATCACAACAGAGAGACGAATTTGGCATTGATATCTGACATCACAACAGAGAGACGAATTTGGCATTGATATCTGACATCACAACAGAGAGACGAATCTGGCATTAATATTTGACATCACAACAGAGAGACGAATCTGGCATTAATATTTGACATCAGAACAGAGAGACGAATTTGGCATTAATTTCTGACATCAGAACAGAGAGACGAATTTGGCATTAATTTCTGACATCACAACAGAGAGACGAATCTGGCATTAATATTTGACATCACAACAGAGAAGCGAATCTGGCATTGATATCTGACATCACAACAGAGAGACGAATCTGGCATTGATATCTGACATCACAACAGAGAGATGAATCTGGCATTAATATCTGACATCACAACAGAGAGACGAATCTGGCATTAATATCTGACATCACAACAGAGAGATGAATCTGGCATTAATTTCTGACATCACAACAGAGAGACAATCTGGCATTAATATCTGACATCACAACAGAGAGACAATCTGGCATTAATATCTGACATCACAACAGAGAGACAATCTGGCATTAATATCTGACATCACAACAGAGAGACAATCTGGCATTAATATCTGACATCACAACAGAGAGACAATCTGGCATTAATATCTGACATCACAACAGAGAGACAATCTGGCATTAATATCTGACATCACAACAGAGAGACGAATCTGGCATTAATATCTGACATCACAACAGAGAGACGAATCTGGCATTAACATTTGACATCACAACAGAGAGACGAATCTGGCATTAATATTTGACATCACAACAGAGACACGAATCTGGCATTAATATTTGACATCACAACAGAGAGACAATCTGGCATTAATATTTGACATCACAACAGAGAGACGAATCTGGCATTAATATTTGACATCACAACAGAGAGACGAATCTGGCATTAATATTTGACATCACAACAGAGAGACGAATCTGGCATTAATATTTGACATCACAACAGAGAGACGAATCTGGCATTAATATTTGACATCACAACAGAGAGACGAATCTGGCATTAACATTTGACATCACAACAGAGAGACGAATCTGGCATTAATATTTGACATCACAACAGAGACACGAATCTGGCATTAATATCTGACATCACAACAGAGAGACGAATCTGGCATTAATATCTGACATCACAACAGAGAGACGAATCTGGCATTGATATCTGACATCACAACAGAGAGACGAATCTGGCATTAATATTTGACATCACAACAGAGAGGCGAATCTGGCATTAATATTTGACATCACAACAGAGAGACGAATCTGGCATTGATATTTGACATCACAACAGAGAGACGAATCTGGCATTAATTTCTGACATCACAACAGAGAGACAAATCTGGCATTAATTTCTGACATCACAACAGAGAGACGAATCTGGCATTGATTTTTGACATCACAACAGAGAGACGAATCTGGCATTAATATTTGACATCACAACAGAGAGACGAATCTGGCATTGATATTTGACATCACAACAGAGAGACGAATCTGGCATTAATTTCTGACATCACAACAGAGAGACGAATGTGGCATTGATATCTGACATCACAACAGAGAGACGAATCTGGCATTAATTTCTGACATCACAACAGAGAGACGAATCTGGCATTAATATTTGACATCACAACAGAGAGACGAATCTGGCATTGATATTTGACATCACAACAGAGAGACGAATTTGGCATTAATATTTGACATCACAACAGAGAGTCGAATTTGGCATTAATATTTGACATCACAACAGAGAGACGAATCTGGCATTGATATTTGACATCACAACAGAGAGACGAATCTGGCATTAATATTTGACATCAGAACAGAGAGACGAATTTGGCATTAATTTCTGACATCACAACAGAGAGACGAATGAATCACTTATGGAGCTCATGTCAGTGTTAAAGGAGTATGGGCTATACTCGGGATATAAATTGAATATACAAAAAACACAAGTTCTTAGTAGCTTTTATAGCCCTCCCCAGAATCTGCTCAACAAATACAAACTAAGCTGGGACAAAAGAACTATCAATATCTGGGCATAAACTTATCAATGGATATAACTAGCTTGGAAGAAATCAACTACCCCCTACTTAAAAAAGATATCATGCTAAATATTAGCAGATGGTCTATCTAAGCATTTCTTCTAGAGTGGACATCATAAAAATGAATATGCTCCCAAAGATATTGTACTTATTCCAGTCTGTTTCTATAGAAAACCCTGATAGATACTTTGTAGAGTGGGATAGGACCCTCTCAAGATTTATATGGGCGGGTAAAAAGCCATTTATATTCAAAGAGACAAAAATTATAGGCCTACTAGACATCTGACTGTATTACAACCACAAAATCTCTGGTACTCTTCCCTTTTCTGCTCAGAGCAGCAATGTATAACAACATACAACAAAACACCTAACAAATGTGGCTGAGTATAGAAAATGTGCAGCATTGTGCAGGAGAGAACATATGACTTACGTGTCCTATATACAGTGTCATTAGTTTTTGTGACAAGTTAATTAAAACTATGCAGCAAGGTATATTGTGTTTGGCATGTCACTTGCACTCTCTCTCCCTTTATGCAAATGTGTGTCCAGAACTCGGCTGTGTCCCACACATCAGGCTTTAATAGCAGCTACGTTCAGGTGACATGGAGATCAGAACCATCAAGAGACATCAAAGCTGTTCATTTCTGGTAAATGGTCTATTAATTACATTTTATTTACCAAATCATAACAACAGTTGCCTCAGGTGCTTTATATTGTAAGGTAAAGACCCTACAATCATACAGAGAAAACCCCAACAATCATCACTACTATTAGCAAGATCTTTGGCAACAGTGGAAAGGAAAAACTCCATTTTAACAAGAATAATTTCATTGTCTGCCTTGCTCAAATTAGCAAAGCACTTTCATAAAGCTCAGGTGTTTATACCCCAGTTCACACTGGTTTTGGTGTCGCTGCAGTGCATCCTTTGTGCAGAATTCTACAACATTTTGGATCAATGTGACGAGCCCTGTCCTGACCTTCACTAACGGCAGAGCTGCTAGATCTGCAGGTGCCCTCACTACATCCACTGACAATGGCAGTTTACAACCTGGATCACTTGTTGTAAGTAACAATGTCTGTTTTGAACATAGTTTGGTTGGCAGTTTCATCCTACAAATGGACTGATTTATTATCTGTTGGCTTAGAGGCTGATGGAAGTCTACCATCTTCTGTATTCTGCAACTCCTCTGGGACTGAGCAGCTCAGAAAATAGAGCAGGTTGTCTGCTTAGGTTTTGGTGGTTCACTCACCAGTTTCTCGAGTCTGTACGTCACAGTGCATGTGTGTGAATGGTTATAAGGACCAGTTTATTTACTACAGTGGTCTCAAACTTAAATGAGCTGTGGGCCACTGCTGACACTGTCATCTCATGTGAGGGCCAATTTAGTGTTCAAGTAGCACAAAAACAAACAAGAAAATGCCCACAAATATTTCCGAAAATGTAGCATTTTGTTTTTAAAATTTCCAATATTGTATAACAAGACAAAACTGCAAATGTGAATGCATTTTTTTCTCACTTTTACCAAACTGAAGCCTTTCATTGAACTACCAAATAAACAAATTGGTACTCTCTTTCTGGCCACACGCCAGATTTGGTGATTTGGTGCCGTATAAATAAAAAATAAGATTACACAGTATATTCAAAATGATGATGCCAAAGTTTTCTCTTCCTGTGTGTGCAGAAATCAGCTGGACCCATCTCTAGTGCTGACTGTGGGGTCACCAAGGTGTGCTTCAGTCAGCCTTCAAACTGTGACCCAGCAGTCAGTGCTAGCTGTTATTTCATGTCAGCCAAGATGTTAGCCGGTGGTGAAGCTGTCCACTTTGAGATGACTGGTCCTTATGAAGGATATATTGCTTTTGGATTCTCTGATGATCAAAGAATGGTAATGTAAAGACAAAATTATCAGTCCCTTGAAATTAAAGTTAGGTTTTTGTTTATTTGTTTGTTTTTTAAGCAATAACAGCAATAAGCCTCTTGGTGTATTTGTATTTAAGAGCACCTGTTGGTGAAAAGCTGCTGTATCACAGTCATTGTTCACTTACCTCCAATTTGCATATTTCCTATAGGACTAATAAAATATTCTGATGATTCCCACCAATTTTGTGAGCAACGCTAAATCATTCACAACTTGTAAAACAGGCTAATTCATTCCAAATTTGTCTTTCCCCAGGGAAATGATGACATTTACGTTTGTGTTATGAAAAGCAATGGACAAGTTGAGGTGGAACATATGTATTCAACAGGACGATCAAAGCCACAAGTTCTTCCTCTGGTACTACATTTTTTGTGATAGCAGCGATTTATACAAGGCTAGAATGTTTCCATTCAGTTCTGTGGAAAAAGTGAACTGCATGTGTATTTTTTGTGAATTCCATCTTACTCCATAAATTACATCTGAGATTTATGTGTGTTTGTTTCCAACAGGGGAATGTTTATAATATAACAACGTCATTGCAGAACAGTGTCATCAGTTGTGTCTTTACTACCACAAACACAATTTCTATTGAGGGGACTTCTGGTTTCAACCAGTCCTACTACCTCTTGTTTTCCTATGGACCCAGCAACAATGGTAACATAATTTGATGTGTCAGATGGTTTGTTACACCAAACAAGTCAGTCTTTTAAACTGTTTGGAAAGGTCTCTTTCAAATGATACTTTGCAGGTGATCTAATAAGCACGTGTTTTTTATTGTTTACAATTGTACTCCAGTAAATACTTTTACTTGGAACGGTTATGCAGGGCCTTTGACTGTGGTTCCTTTTCCAATAATGTAAAAAGTGTCAAATGAGTTCACTTTTAATACCTCTGTCTCTACCAGTTTATGAAAATGAAACTTGTTTCATAGGCATGCAAAGCTTAGTCTTTTCCTTAAAAGGAATCCTAACCCAGCTTGTATCTAAATAGTAGATTACAAACTTGCACCTACTCATGCATTAGCTATTAGCTGAATGTATTATATGCACATAAAGCTGATGCCTTTTGGCCATATTCACTCTCACCTTTTTTTTTTTTTTTCATTATTCCAACCAATGGGGTTTTTTTTTCTAGGCATGTTACACTTTTTCTTTTTCACATCAAGTTCAATGTCAGACTATTTCCTTTTATGTATTATTCACTCATGAATCCCACTTTCAATTTATGCCACCACAAGAGAGAGATTGGTTGTGGTATGTGGAAACGTATTCATAGCTTATTCTGTGAAATTTAAATGTTGGTATGGTTAAATGTTATCCTGTGTGACACTCACACATGCATACACATATACAAGTGTCTGTAAACTTTGATATATCTTTCCTACAGGATCAATAAGAATCCATATGGGTACCTTCACCAGCAATAAAAGGATCAATATTAATAATCCCCTTGTTGTTGGCAAAGATGATGTTCCTGATATCATCAAAGCTCATGGTAAGACCTTGCACCAAGTGATACGTGTAAAATAAAAATGTTTTTTAGTCCAAAATAATCTCAGCAAAGTCCTTTGTCATTTTTTGCTAAGCTGTTCACAGCTAAATGATTTGAAAGTCCTTGGAAGATAAATGCTACCAGGAACGTCATTTCATTTGTACTTTTAGCACGATTAAAGTGTTTAATCTATAATACTGAGTAGACTTGCAGTCCTTTAAATTGAACTGCACATGTTTCACAGACACAAGTTACACAAACAAGGAACCAAAACAGTGGATGAGGTTGGACACATTAGATGGGTGGTCTCTTAACAATAACTGTCCTTTTTCATGAGACAAGGATATGCAAAACAATAATTTATAACAATCTTCAGATGTTTGAAAACTAATAGAATTTTGAAGATGTGAAAAACATTTCTGTGCCGCTTTTCTGCTAATGGTATACCTGTAATTATGGCAATGGACTCAGTTTCTTGGCCCAAGGTTGCTGTTTGGCTGCTCACTGTCTATATTACCTTTGCTCTGTTGACTCATTAGTTTAAATCCAGAATTTGACGACTACTGTCAAATGTTTCTGCTCTAAATTTTTAGTCAGTTGACAGACCACATGTTTACTCCAGGGGAAGAAATTCATCTTAACTCCTAAAACAAAGAGAAGTGGAGAGAATTTCAATATTTAACTGTGTTTCAGGATCACTCATGCTGATTGCCTGGATGACCACAGGATCACTCGGCATGATGGTTGCCCGATATCTAAAAAAAATGGCCAAGGGAAAAAAAATGTGCGACAAAGATCTCTGGTTTATGGTGAGACATCATAGACAAAACCATGTATTATCTTTTCAATGTGGAACCAAAGTTTTTGTAAACTAAACTAGGCTTGAAAATAACTTAAACTTGGTGTGTTTCCAGAATAAATTTCATGACTAAAATATTAACTTCATAAGTAATTTCAGATATCCAATCCAATCCAAGATATAATAGACTTGTAAGACAGCTTGGTCCAAGCCTAATGTTATCTGGACAAATGTATTGGTTTAGCTGCCACAGTATCATGCTGTATTCTTTGTGTTCCTCCAGGTCCATGTTGGAGCAATGTGTCTGACGGTAGCAGCCACAATCATTGCTTTCATCCTTGTGTTCGTTCATTCTCAGGACTGGTCTGGGGTTAGTACACTGACTCTGCTAGATTCTAAGAATCTTAGTTAAGTTATGGTTTTGTACTATTCATTACAGCGACAATCAAATGATAAAACCGTGTTTCTCTGTAATAATATTTATTTTCTTATTTATTCCAACTAAATTTTATGTGTTGTTCACACAGAATTGGGGGTAATTGTTGAATACAAATTGTTGATTATATGAATGCAAATACCCTCCAAATTATGTTGCAACATTTAGATTTCATTTAATCCCAGTTTTTAAACCCTATATTTAAGTACAAATGTATTTATATAGCACTTTTCAAGATCATTTCTGCAAAGTGCTTCACAATCAAAATAGTTAAGTTAAAAAGAACTCCAAACGTTCCTCATTGAAGATTTAGTTGATATTGCGTGGACATCAAGAGTTTTAATTACATTAGGCACCATTCAGAAGACCCCCATGAAAAGAATATCGAGGGAACAGTTTACCCTGCCCGGGATAGGGTTACCGGGGCCCCGCCCTGGAGCCAGGCCCGGGGAGGGTGCCCGAGGGCGAGCGTCTGGTGGCCGGGCCTTAGTCCATGGGCCCGGCCGGGCACAGCCCGAAGAGGAGACATGGGCCCATCCTCCCGCAGGCCCACCACCCGCAGGAGGCGCCATAGGGGTCGGGTGCATTGTGAGCCGGGTGGCGGCCAGGAGCGGAGGCCCTGGCGGACCGACCCCCGGCTGCCAAGACTGGCAATAGGGACATGGAATGTCACCTCTCTGGTGGGGAAGGAGCCTGAGTTGGTGCGTGAGGTTGAGAGGTACCGGCTAGATATAGTTGGGCTCACCTCTACGCATTGTCTGGGCTCTGGAACCAGTCTCCTGGAGAGGGGCTGGACTCTGTCTCAGTCTGGAGTTGCCCCTGGTGAGAGGCGGCGGGCTGGGGTGGGTATTCTTATATCCCCTCGGCTTGCTGCCGGTACGTTGGGGTTTTTCCCGGTGGACGAGAGGGTTTGTTCCCTGCGCCTTAGGGTCGGGGAACGGGTCCTGACTGTCATCTGCGCTTATGCGCCGAGTGGCAGTTCGGAGTACCCAGCCTTCTTAGAGTCCCTGGGGGGGGTGCTGGAAGGTGCTCCACCTGGAGACTCTGTTGTCCTGCTGGGAGACTTCAATGCTCACGTGGGTAACGACAGCGAGACCTGGAGGGGCGTGATTGGGAGGAACGGCCTCCCTGATCTGAACCCGAGCGGTGCTTTGTTATTGGACTTCTGTGCTAATCACAGTTTGGCCATAACGAACACCCTGTTCGAACATAAGAGTGTCCATAAGTGCACGTGGCACCAGGATGCTCTAGGCCGTAGGTCGATGATCGATTTTGTAATCGTATCACCAGACCTGCGACCATATGTTCTGGACACTCGGGTAAAGAGAGGGGCTGAGCTGTCAACTGATCACCACCTGGTGGTGAGTTGGATCAGGTGGCGGGGGAGGACGCTGGACAGACCTGGTGCACCTAAACGCGTAGTGAGGGTGTGCTGGGAACGTCTAGCAGAGGCCCCAGTCCGCGAGATCTTCAACGCACACCTCCGGCAGAGCTTCAACAACATTCCGAGGGAGACTGGGGACATTGAGTCCGAATGGACCATGTTCAGCGTCTCCATTGCCGAAGCTGCTGCATTGAGCTGCGGCCGCAAGGTGGTTGGTGCCTGCCGTGGTGGTAATCCCCGAACCAAATGGTGGACACCAGAGGTGAAGGGAGCCACCAGGCTGAAGAAGGAGGCCTATCGGGCTTGGTTAGCCTGTGGGACTCCGGAGGCAGCCGACAGGTATCGACAGGCCAAGCGGAATGCGGCTCGGGCAGTGGCTGAAGCAAAAACTCGGGTGTGGGAGGAGTTCGGAGAGGCCATGGAAAAAGACTTTCGGACTGCCTCGAAGAGATTCTGGCAAACCGTCAGGCGTCTCAGGAGGGGAAAGCGGTGCTCTACCTGCACTGTGTATAGTGCTGGCGGAGCGCTGTTGACGTCGACTGAGAAAATTGTCGGGCGGTGGAAGGAATACTTCGAGGACCTCCTTAATCCCACTGACACGTCTTCCGGGGAGGAAGCAGAGTCTGGGGATGAGGGGTGTGACCCACCGATTTCCGGGGGCGAGGTCACTGAGGCAGTTAAACAACTCCTTGGTGGCAGAGCCCCTGGTGTCGATGAGGTCCGCCCCGAGTTCCTGAAGGCTCTGGACGTTGTAGGGCTGTCTTGGTTGACACGTCTCTGCAATGTTGCGTGGAGATCAGGGGCAGTACCTGTGGACTGGCAGACCGGGGTGGTGGTCCCCATCTTCAAGAAGGGGGACCGGAGGGTGTGTTCCAACTACAGGGGGATCACACTCCTCAGCCTCCCCGGGAAAGTCTATGCCAGGGTGCTGGAGAGGAGGGTTCGTCCGCTAGTCGAACCTCGGATACAGGAGGAACAATGCGGTTTTCGTCCTGGTCGCGGAACACTGGACCAGCTCTTTGTCCTCTCGAGGATACTTGAGGGTGCATGGGAGTTTGCCCAACCAGTCTACATGTGTTTTGTGGACTTGGAGAAGGCATTCGACCGTGTCCCTCGGGGCGTCCTGTGGGAGGTGTTGCGCGAGTATGGGGTGTCTGGCCCATTGCTACGGGCCATTCAATCCCTATACAACCGTTGCAAGAGCTTGGTTCGCATTGCCGGCAATAAGTCGGACTCGTTCCCGGTGGGTGATGGGCTCCGCCAAGGCTGCCCTTTGTCTCCGGTTCTGTTCATAATTTTTATGGACAGGATTTCTAGGCGCAGCCAAGTGGCGGAGGGCTTTCGCTTTGGTGGCCTCAGAATCTCATCTCTGATTTTTGCGGATGATGTGGTTCTGTTGGCTTCATCGGGTGAGGGCCTCCAGCTCGCACTGGAGCGGTTCGCAGCCGAGTGTAACGCAGCGGGAATGAGGATCAGCACCTCCAAATCTGAGGCCATGGTTCTCAGCCGGAAAAGGGTGGAGTGCCCACTCCGGGTCGGGGATGAGTTCCTGCCCCAAGTGGAGGAGTTCAAGTATCTCGGGGTCTTGTTCGCGAGTGATGGGAGAAGGGAGCTGGAGATCGACAGACGGATTGGGGCTGCGGCTGCAGTAATGCGGACGCTGCACCGGTCAGTCGTGGTGAAGAGGGAGCTGAGTGTAAAAGCGAAGCTCTCAATTTACCGGTCGATCTACGTCCCTACCCTCACCTATGGCCACGAGCTGTGGGTAGTGACCGAAAGAACGAGATCGCGGATACAAGCGGCGGAAATGAGCTTCCTCCGAAGGGTGGCTGGCCTCTCCCTTAGAGATAGGGTGAGAAGTTCGGCCATCCGGGAGGGGCTTAGAGTAGAGCAGCTGCTCCTCCACATCGAAAGGAGCCAGCTGAGGTGGTTCGGGCATCTGGCAAGGATGCCCCCTGGGCGCCTCCTGGGCGAGGTGTTCCAGGCATGTCCCACCGGGAGGAGGCCCCGGGGCAGACCCAGGACACGCTGGAGAGATTATATCTCTCGGCTGGCCTGGGAACGCCTTGGTATTCCCCCGGACAAGCTGGAGGAGGTGGCTGGGGAGAGGGAGGTCTGGACCTCTTTGCTTAGGCTGCTACCCCCGCGACCCGACCTCGGATAAGCGGATGAAGATGGATGGATGGATGGACAAACAAGGACTTTGTTTTCTGTTTGAAGAAAATTATCAGCCATTCATTTTTTTTAAATAGTCCAAACACCTATGCAAGACCTGTTGCTTAGAAAGTGCAAAGAGTGTGTTTATACACCACTTTGCATTTAATCCTTAGTTACTCTCTGGCTCTCGTCCATAACATTTTGCCTGTCGTGTCTCCCCATCACCTCCAACCAGTTGCAGCAGATGGCTGCATCACCTGAGCCTGGTTCTGCTGGAGGTTTCTAACAGAAAAGAAGGGAATATTTCCTTCCCACTATCACCAAAAGCTTGCTTCCACCAGTTGTAGTAGTGATGCAGAAACATTATGCCTTTTGACAACCAATCCACATATGAACAGGTTCAAGAAATAATTTGAGGGATAAATGGAATCTGTGGGCTGCATCCAGTTAGTTTCACTTTAGTTTTTTATAAAACAGTCATCTCATGGTGCTTTACATTAGAAGGATGAGCCAAGGGAGTTTAATATAATTCAACTTAATATGAATGCGATAACCATACCAACCAGGTATGGACCCCTCCAACCCTTGGCTTTGGTGTGCAGAAACAACTCCCGTGTAACAGTAGGACCCTCTGGCAAAACCAGACTGAAGGAGGACGATCATCTCCAGCTTTTGGTTGTGATGTGATTGTAGAAGAGAATAGCGACACCATGTAAAACCTAAAGGACAAAATGCAAACTATGGAGATGACAAAAAGTTGGTGCATATTTATAAGCCAATATTGCAAGTCATTAAGACAAAAGGCAAGTGGAGCAGAAGTGCCCCTCATGGGAGGTACATCTAGAAATGATTAAGTTCTCATGGTACTCTCAAAGGTACTCGTACTTTTCACTCTGGGGTTATTTGTGGAGGCTTTACCTTCACTTGGGTAGTAGAGCAAGTCATCTATCAAACAGAAGGTCCATAGATCAATCCTCAGCTCCTCCAGTCTGCAAGTTGCATCCACAGGCAAGATTAATATACCCCTTCAAAGTGTTTTTTTTTCTTTTCTCTTGATATTCATTAAGCACTCTTTAGTTGTGTGTTTCAGCTCTCAGACTGATATTTATGCCACATGATTAGCACTGTTAATGTGTTTGGTATCCAGGGAGCACATCCAGTGTTGGGGTGCCTGGTTATGATCCTCTCACTCATCCAGCCTATCGGGGCCTTGCTGCGCTGCGGACCACAACATCACCTGTATGTATCCATCTGTGTGTGTTTAATTAATATACTATATCATGCCTATACACATTTAAGAATACTCTGTTCAAATATTATTTAAAAAAAACTTAAAAATGGCCTCACTTTTTTTTTCTCTACAATTATTTAACAAATTTTGAAAACACGATAAACCAAAGGAATAGGGCAGTACATGCTTAATGACTAAATGCACTGCTCACGCGGCAAAGTGAGGTTATAAAGTTATTTGATAACCCTAAGAGTTGTATTCATACTTCAGCCATAAAAGTTTTTAAAATGTCAAACTTTTGCAAAGTGTAGCCTGCATGTGCTTTATCAGAGCACACTTTCACACTGAAACACCAAGTAGGAAACTAATTTGCACATGACTCGTGAAAGTTATTCCTTCCTCTTAGTAATAATGGTGCTTTTAATAAATATAGCCTGGTTGTAGCTTTGGAGGCCAGACTCAGTAAATGAAATATTTTTTAAGTGAAATATAGATTTAGTAAAATTGTATGTTCAGTAATGATACTTGTTTTCATAAATTGGATGCAGGAGAAATCTTAGACAAGAACTTCAGAAGCTGATGATTTTATAGTTCTTCTCTTTTCTTTGATAGGAGGTATCTGTTCAACTGGACACATTTTTTAAATGCGGTGGTAATAAAATCTATAGCTGGTAAGCTTGTGTTTTACTTCATTCTACCATCTTGCATATATGAATAGAATAGAATAGAATTCAACTTTATTGTCATTGCACATGCACAGGTACAGGGCAACGAAATGCAGTTTGCATCCATCCAGAAGTGCTTAGTGATATAGATATATTACAATATATATTAGCAATAATATAGATATGTAAGTATATTACAGAAATGGGTCTATTATGTTATAATGTACACGGTATGAAGTATGTTGTGAATATTCTATAACTACAAGTATGTACAGGCTGTAGTGAGTACAAGCTATGTACAGGATATGCTAACATTTTCAATAGCAGACACACTGTCACCCATGCTGCTCGTCTTAAAATGCCTGCTTCTTTGTGTCACACAGTGGCAGCCATATTTACAGGCCTGGACAGGATTGACAGTGATGATGGGTGGCTATTGAAAGTGATGGGTGGCTTCTTTGCCTGGGAAGTTCTCTTCATCATCATTTTGGAGGTCCATGATTGGGTAGTTAAACACAGAGGTAAGCCTTTTTTTTTCCATTTCAGTGATGAAGGAAAAAATCATCACTACCCATATACACTTTAATGACAAAAACCAATCTAGACCCAACAGTCCATTTGCACGGTGAAGAGCCACCTGATCAGTTCAGCAGCATTTAGCTGACTGAGCGAAGAGTATAACCCCTGTACACCTCAGAATGTGGTTGGATGGGTAAAATAAACAGCACTGTATCACAAGATTTTCTGTGTATAACACAGCAGCATCAAATATTGGTATTTATGAATTGATGAGTGAAAACGCGTAAGAATGTCTCAATGGTAGTCTGCTGGAACAAAAGCTGTTACACTTTAACTGTGCTGAAGTACAGCGACAAAGGAATCTTTATCTTTCGATTTATTAAATGCATGAAAATACTCTGGGAATACTATACACGAAGGCTCAGCTCATGCACCACCAACCTAATGTTATCAGAGAGAACTTGCATTGAAATGTCTCAACTGAGACTATCCAATTTTGGACACGTGTAGTTTGACAATGCTGTGGCTCAATGTGTGGCTCAGTCACACAAATTATTAAAAAAAAATATGATCACAACCTCTTTGTGTCTACAAAAACTGGTTAATGTTTGGTGATTTTTAAAAAATGTTTTACCCCCCCGTGCCGCACACACTTTCCATGACCAATGGCAACTTGACATGCTAAATGTTTACATAGAGCTTCCAGCACATTGTTATCGTTCTGAAAGTTGTTGTTTTTTTGTTTTTTTTCAATCACCACAACTACTCAACTCGACTCAATTTTATTTAAATTGATTTCAAATTGTTCTTCTTCTGTTAAAGCTTAAAACTAATATCATAACTCAACCTGTATAAATAAAATGATTAAAAACATAGCTGACTGCTTTAGTTCACTTCAGTTAATGTGCCCTGCAATATTTCACTGTTCTTTGCTCTGGGTTTCAGATGATACTGCTGATCAAATGGAATCAGCATTGGTAAGCTGAAAGAAATATAAAAGCAAGCAATCACTGATTGCCACAAGATGGAGTATTTCTAATATAATTTTACTTTTTTTGTCAGGTCAAAGGTGACAGTTGCCTGATCGCTGTGTACCTTCTGGGAAACCTTTGCTTTTTGGTGGCACTTTTGGTTGGAATTGGAGAAAAATGAGCAGCAGCAGAATCTTCCAGAGTGTTTCCCTGTAGTTTTGTTGAATTTTATCATCAATTTTAACATACTTGATGAGAGACTGCACTGGAAATTCAGACCCACTGATGCATCAGTTGGCGAATCCTGGAAAGTTTCTCAGTAATGTCTTTAAAAAATATTACTTATGTTTTTTTTCTCTTTTGCTTTTAGTTGATAATTAAGGTGTACTTTCAATCAGCATTCAATTTCACTGGGCCAAGCATTACTGTCGTGTGTGTGTGTGTGTGTGTATAATATGTCTCACAGTTGCAAAGAAAGAAGTAGTTTCAGTCGCCTTTAGCCTCCACTCTGGCTGCCAGGTAAACCAGTTTCGTTTTACAAGCTGGTTACATTTTTTAAGCCAAACAGCAATTTTGTATTAAAAAGTACTTTTAACAATTTTTCCTTTTACATTTTTAAATCAGGTCAACTCGACCCACATCATAATGGGAGGGTTAAAGCCCTTTTCACACATTAACATCTGTTAATATGACAGCATCTATGTATGAATCTGCACCTTTGTCACTTTCATTTGAAAAAAAAAACTGTCATTGATTCAGCTCCTGAACTTCCCATTTAATGTACATTTTTTCATATATTTCTAATAATCTTGCTGTCAATAACAACTGACAATAAGACAACAAATTTTTAACTTCATTAAATTGAAAATTATGTATGTCAGTGTAGTAGTGTTAAATGCTTACCAGGTTCAGATGCAAATGAAGAAACTCCACTCAGGCAAGTCTGCTGGACCAGATGGAGTGAGTCCCCTCAAGGCCTGTGCCCCCCAGCTTTGTGGAGTCTTCCATAAACTGTTCATGCTGAGTCTGAAGAGGGTCCCAGTGCTGTGGAAGACATCAAGCCTCGTCCCTGTACCAAAGACGCCACGTCCCAGTGGCCCCCAGGATTACAGGCCTGTGACACTGACCTCCCACATCATGAAGACCCTGGAAAGGCTCATCCTGGACCAGATCTCACCCATTGTCAGACCACATCAGGATCCCATTCAATTTGCTTACCAGCCCCGTCTCACAGGACGCCATCATCTATCTGCTCAATCGTGTCTACATCCACCAGCCGGCGAGCACTGTGAGGTTCATGTTTTTTTTACTTTTCCAGTGCTTGGTGATAAGCTAACAGCGATGCAGGGGGATGCTTCTCTAGTGTCCTGGATTGTTGATTACCTGACAGGAAGACCACAATATGTGCGTCTTCCACATTGTGTGTCTGACAAGGTAATCAGCAACACAGGAGCACCATAAGGGACCATCCTCTCCCCCTTCCTCTTCACCCTCTACACCACAGACTTCAGCTGCTGCACAGAGACCTGCATCTTCAGAAGTTTTGATGTAAATTTGTAAGTTTTGATGTAAGTAAATTTGCGGTCAATTTAGACTCAATTCAAAATCTCCTACTTGGGACGAACACTAAATGTAAATAGCTGACTTTCTAAATAAACCTATCCATCTTTGCAAGGTCAATTTTTGCTTTCACTAAATTCCAAATGTTTAGCCATAATTAGCTTAGCTGTCCTACTCTTGTTACTGCTCTTTCCTACTGCTGTTACAATCAAATGAACATCTCTGCAAAGATAAATTAGCTGAGACCTTAGGTTGATGGTTACTAGCAAACACAGAAACTTACATACACTATATAGTACAGTTCTATGATACATCACCAAATAGAACAATTTGTGGCAATGCAGACAAGCAGAGAAACAGTTTAATTAGTTGAATTTGTTCACTTGATCGGAGGTGTGTTTCCTGCAGATATACAACATCGGATCTCAATGATTTTAAATGAGTAAAAGCCCTTGTGCGTTTAACCGGATTATTTATACCTTTAACATTCCAGCTTATAAAACGAAGAGCAGATGACTTTGCGAGCTTGCCATTCAGGTACCAAAATGCAGGTGCAGAAAAAATATGTCCCAACCTCTGGAATAATAAATCTTTCGTGCTTGAATCGATACGGTCCAATATCGTCTTTTCAGAGCTAGCAATAGCTCTCATAATCTCACTCATGTCATGGGGTGGTGCCTCCGGTCTGTCCTCAGCATGGTCCTGTCAGGATCTGACGGCGCCCTGACCGGTCGACCTTCCAGTGTGTGTATATCTGTGTGCGTGTGTGTTGCATCTTCAAAAAATAAAAATACAATAACTGAGCCTTACACCGGAGTATCGTTGCACTGGTTTACTGAACCTTACTTTCAGGGCATGTACAGAACATGAGCATCCATTTTCTACTGCCTCCTACAGGACACACACTTCTTCCACTTCCTTACACATTAATGTAACACAGAACTAATACTGCCTCTCCTGGCATTACCATTGTAACAACACATTCATTCTGTTTCTTTCAGAAGAATAACAGGAACTTAGGATGTAGGTATCTATGAATAATAACTATTATGTATACTCATATATTTATATAACCACTTATATCTTGCGATACCACAGTGTGAAAATGTCTCTCCTATCGCCCTGTCTTCCCCTCCGGCTCCGCTGTGATGTGCTAGGAGGTAACCTAGCAACAGGCTACCTCCGACCCGGAAGTGCTGTCGCCCGGAGCTGCCGCACCTGCAGTCAATCCACCAGCTGCTGCCAATTAACTAGTAGCAGGGCTACTTAATGGTGTGGCTGAGCGACAGACAGCGCTGGAGTATTGCACTAAGCCTGGTAGTGTTTTTGAGTCGCTAACGTTATTGAACTACTGTCTAATCTTCGTACTCATTTTGCTGTCGTGTGTGTGTTCACCCAGGGATTGACGGAGGATTTACGGACACTAAGGAAGCACTTGGAGGAGAGACGGGCACTCACTACCACGCACGGGCTTACACGGAAGGAGGGACGCACTATCACCATTGTTGCACATTTGAACTGTTGTCACCTTGCTGCACTGTAAATAAATGCACTGTCATTATTTCTGAGCTCCGCGCCTGAGTCCACTCTTTAACAACCGTGACAGGTCCGAGGCTTTTGCGGCCTGCTCTTTCCCCGATCTAGTTTTGCTCATATGTCGTACACCGTAGCCTTGAAGATGTAAAAAGTGCCTCAGAGCAGCACACGGGCGTGTTATCGTACTGTTGTTAAAAGTTCGTTAGTTTTGGAGCAATGGAATTATGAAACAAGTTAGTCCATTGAGGAGCCCTGTACAACACGTCTTCACATGGCTACCAGACACGCCCCCCGTCATTTTGTTATTATTCAATTCAGAACTGCCCAGACCAGACACAGTGACGTTTCACCAGAATCCCTTTGATCTCTGGTCTTCTTTATGACATCAGCACACGAAAACCTATAAATAGGGGAGAGGTTCTCACTCTTGTCAGTCTTTCAAAGAGAGTGGAAGAATTCACTAGGCAGGAAACTACTGGAAACTTGCGTTTCTGACACAGTTGACGGTATTTTTAAAAAATCTTTTAGTTGGTACAGAGATTTAGCATCAACTTCAATTTGAAATATGAGTCTGTCAAATCCTGTTGTATGCAACATGAGAGCCGAGAACGAAAAACTTAAACAGCAAATCAAAGAGCTGAAAAATGAGAATAAAACTCTCAAACAACAAAACTCTACCATACGTGACCTTAAAGTCGAGAACGCCGACCTTAAGGAGCAAAAAGAGAGCTCATAAATGAGAACAAGATTCTCCAAAAAAACATTGAAGTTCTCTTCAAACGAAGTGGGTTCTCTAAAAACAAGAGGAAAAGAGACCTGCAACTAGAGAATGAAACAATTCACTTCAAAATTCAAGAGCTGGAATATTGGAACCAAATTCTAAAGGATTTAAACAGCTCCAAAACCAAAGAGATCCAGCAACAGAAAGAGGTGATGCAGGAAATGGAAGCAGAAATCAGAGAGTTGCAAAGCAGCAAGACAGGCTTGGTTATAAAAGTGGGAGACATGGAAAAGGACAACCAGTCTTTAAGAGAGGAAAATGATGTGACGGTAAAACGCATGTGTGAGCTGAAAAGGGACTTTGAAAAGGAAAAAGATGACATGCAACAGGAAATACAAGCTGTTAAAACTGAGCTCCATCAGGCAAACACAGCCTTTAAAGAGTTACAAGAGAGTGAAGAAAGAAAAAGGATCATGAATGAGGAAAACAAAACAACGGACAGTGAACAGCTCAGACAGACCCTGGAACTCCAATGCTTTGCACATGAAATTGACATATTGAGGCGGCATAACGAACTTCTTGAACAGGACCTCCAGGAGCTTTCCAAAAGGAGTGGTGATTCTCAAAAAGAACTGAAACCACACGATGAGGGTGTGAAAGGAGAATCACGGATCTTCAAAGCCACTGAGAAAGACTCCCAACATGATGTTAATGTGACCAACAGAGAAAAGGAGTTGTTGTGCCATGAATTTGAGGAAATGCAAAGAGAGCTTGAAGAGGTCAAGAAAAATCTGTATGATTCACAGGAAGCCTTGACAACAGAAGACATGGCGTTGCAAACCCAAGCTCAGACTCCCAAAGTTTCACAGGAAGAACATAACAATCTGATAAACAACTACGATGTCCAAGTTGACATACTCAAACAACAAAATAAGGCCTTAGAAAATAAGGTTAGTGACCTTACCAAAAAGATGTGGAATGGACGGGAAGCGATGAGACAAATGGAAAAGAACTTTCAAGAACAAATGAAGCTACTCGAAAATCTCCGAGGAGAATTCGAGGAAATTTAGCACAACTAGGACTTTGGCCCTCCCTATTAAAGCTGGTTAACACAGGTTCAATAGGGCTATAACTTAGACAATGGAAGTTCATTTGATTTAATTGGCCCAAAATTTGCTACTGAGTGCTGGGCAGCACTCACTGCACCAGACACTCAGTAGCAAAAAAATTACAGAGATTCAAGAGAGAAAACTGTTTCTGCATAGACTCCTATAGTACTGCAAGTCGTGTCATCGCTTGGTGTCCTGCATAGAGTGCAGGTTTAAGGTATCTACGTATCTTTCAGAATTAGAAGCTATGCTGCGTCAGGGGTTATAACAGCTGTGCCCCCCCCCAACCGGTCGAGGCAGATGGCCGCCCCTCACTGAGCCTGGTTCTGCCGAAAGTTTCTTCCTGTTAAAAGGGAGTTTTTCTTTCCCACCGTCACCAAGTCTAAGGAGCTTGGAGAAAAGCGCCTGGACTTCTTTAACTTAAAGAAGTCCAGGCGCTTTTCTTTCCAAGCTCCTTAGACTACTATGGCCTTGATGACTGATAACCTTCACAGACACTGTCATCAAGGGTTTGCTCACAGGGGATCATCTGATTGTTGGGGGGTTTTCTCTCTTATATTGTATGGTCTTTACCTTACAATATAAACAGCCGAGAAGCGGCTATTTTTGCGATCCGGTGCTTTAGAAATACATCTTAGCTGAACTGAACTCCATAACATCTGGACCGAAATGCCTACACACAACGGTAGGCATTTCAATCAAGAGCTCTGTCCAAAACGTTCAATGACAAGCATCAGCACCAGGATTGTTTTTTAGCTCACCAACAGTTCATGTTCCCTACCCATTTTTTATTGTAACTGCAACTTTGTAAGACTGGGTTGGGAGATGTTCTTGTGGTGAGCTTTTATTTACATAATTGGTTTCTTTAATAGTGAAATAAAATAAATTTGTATAACTGGAAACAGCGTTCTCCTGTGTGATTATCACATTGTATTCTTTAAACCATATAACAGAATATATAATATATATAATTTACTCATAGTAATATTAATATCTAATGTGATTGAGTTTCCTTATCTCTACTTATGTGCTGATGTGTTCACTGAGGCCATTGTATGGTCCATTTTGGCTGCATTTCCATGTTTTAAACATGAAATTTGCTTATTTAAAGGGTGTCTCATGTATCTCTTATGCAGAAATATGTGTTGCCTAGCTGGACAAATGTGGCACAGGTCTACTATTATTGGTCACGTGTGTTTTCCCCCCCAGCCATCATGTTCTGTTTGTGCTTAGTTATGTCCATGTCTTATCTCCTGTCCCCTTTTCCCTCTGTATGTATTCACAGTGTACGTGTTCCTCGTCGGCTCGTCATGCTAAGTCTGCGTGTCTTATTCCGTCATGTGTCATGTATCACTCCAAATCTCACTGACTTTAACTAATAATAACTGTTTGCTGAGTGTTATGTCTAAAAGGTATTGCACAATCGCCTCTAGTAGAGGATCAGGTTTGTTTTCCACTGATAATGGATTTTAACATGACTGACCAATGATTGTGGAGCACGTCAATGTAGGATCTTATAAATACAACGAGCAAACTTAAATGTTTTAAAATGTTCAAAAAATTAATATATTATATTTCTGAAGTATGACGGAAGGAAAAAGTTACATTTTTTTCATATTTAAAAAAAAAATCCATGGGTTTAATGGGTCCATCATCACTATATTGAGGGCCTTGTATAATAGCCCAACTGCAAAAGTAAAGATTAACGGTGAACTTTCAGATGCTTTCAAGCTTGAAAGGTCCACAAGACAAGGATGCCCACTGAGTCCACTCTTATTTGCTATTTTTATAGAGCCATTGGCTGAAAGGATTAGGCAGAATGGTAAAATAAAAGGGATTAATATCACTGGAAGTGAGCAGAAATTGGCCTTGTTTGCAGATGACATTTTGGTTTACTTATCAAAACCTACCGAATCACTTATGGAGCTCATGTCAGTGTTAAAGGAGTATGGGCTATACTCGGGATATAAATTGAATATACAAAAAACACAAGTTCTTAGTAGCTTTTATAGCCCTCCCCAGAATCTGCTCAACAAATACAAACTAAGCTGGGACAAAAGAACTATCAAATATCTGGGCATAAACTTATCAATGGATATAACTAGCTTGGAAGAAATCAACTACCCCCTACTTAAAAAAGATATCATGCTAAATATTAGCAGATGGTCTATCTAAGCATTTCTTCTAGAGTGGACATCATAAAAATGAATATGCTCCCAAAGATATTAAACTTATTCCAGTCTGTTTCTATAGAAAACCCTGATAGATACTTTGTAGAGTGGGATAGGACCCTCTCAAGATTTATATGGGCGGGTAAAAAGCCAAGAGTTAAGTTCAAAACACTTCAGCTTCCCAAAGATAAAGGAGGATTAGGCATCCCTTGCCTACAGGATTACTACAGGGCAACACAAATAAGAAATCTGGTGGGCTGGTGTAAACCCGGATACTGTTCAACAGAGAGACGAATCTGGCATTAATATTTGACATCACAACAGAGAGACGAATTTGGCATTAATATCTGACATCACAACAGAGAGACGAATTTGGCATTGATATTTGACATCACAACAGAGACGCGAGTCTGGCATTGATATCTGACATCACAACAGAGAGACGAATCTGGCATTGAAATCTGACATCACAACACAGAGACGAATCTGGCATTAATATCTGACATCACAACAGAGAGACGAATCTGGCATTGATATCTGACATCACAACAGAGAGACGAATCTGGCATTGATATCTGACATCACAACAGAGAGACGAATCTGGCATTGATATCTGACATCACAACAGAGAGACGAATCTGGCATTGATATCTGACATCACAACAGAGAGACGAATCTGGCATTAATATCTGACATCACAACAGAGAGACGAATCTGGCATTAATATCTGACATCACAACAGAGACACGAATCTGGCATTAATATTTGACATCACAACAGAGAGACGAATCTGGCATTAATATCTGACATCACAACAGAGAGACAAATCTGGCATTAATATCTGACATCACAACAGAGAGACGAATCTGGCATTGATATCTGACATCACAACAGAGAGACAACTCTGGCATTAATATCTGACATCACAACAGAGAGACGAATCTGTCATTGATATCTGACATCACAACAGAGAGACGAATCTGGCATTGATATCTGACATCACAACAGAGAGACGAATCTGGCATTGATAT